CACCCACACCCCCACCCACACCCACACCCACACCCACACCCACACCCACACCCACACCCACCCACACCGACACCCAAAAAAGCTCGAAAAGAAAAATCTGGAAACTAAAAATCCAGAAATTTGAAATGTCGAAAAAGTAAAATCTCGATATGCGAGATGTCGAAAAATTACGATTCCGAACAATTAAAATTGAGAAAATCAAATCCCGAAAGTTGTCATCGTATTCCGCTGTCACTTCGATAATTTTACGTAAACGTTAAAACCAATCAAAAATTCTTGATTGTTTTCGTCCGTCCAGCTCATTCTTATATTTTCTGTTCATGTAAATGTTTTCCTCCATTTTTTCTTCTATATACATGCAAGAAAACTCTTCTTCATCAACAACGAATTTCTTCACTTCAATTACAATTTAATCAAAAGAAAATAAAACTTGATGAATTTCTTGAAGGACTTTCACTATTGATTGGAGTCGGCAAATAATCGTTCTTCATCATAAATTTAGTTATTTTTTCTATTTTGTTAGTTCATTGTCATCAACTTTTAAATTAAAATTTTAATTATAAATATACATATTCCTTCATCGCTACATCGATATTTTAGATTGCAACTAGTTCGAGATTTTTTTCGAAATTTGCCAATTTCGGAATTTTCCTTTTCGAGATTTATTTTTTTCGATTTACTTTTTTTCGTAATACCGATTTTTCGGAATTTTAATTTTTCGAGCATTTCCTTTTTCGAAATTATTTTTTTCGTGATTTTTCTTCGAGATTTTCTTTTTTGAGGTTTTTTTTTCGAGGTTTTCACACATTACCGAATATTCTATTATGATTGTTTGATTGTGATGCTACTTTTATGAGATGTTGATAATCAAGGCAATTGTAAAGATGCTAATGCCAGATAGGCATAGGATACAAATCATTTTCAATCAAGAGTGCATTATGATAACTTTCATCATAGAATACATCAATTACTTTTAGCCATATTCATGTAACATACCTGGCGGTCGAAAATATGTTTCATATAACTATTCATTGTTATTATCATTAACCTTTTCACATACATATATTTATTCAAAAAAAAAACAAATCCTTAGTTATTAACTTTGTCATTGTTTATGTCACCATCTTTTGTTTATTCAAGAGTCTTTCAACTTAACAAGACTATCCAACGTATACAGACACACACAAGCACAAGAAAAAGAAGGAAATAAAAAATTCAGAACAGAGAAAAAAAATTATCAATAGTAGAAAAAAAGACAGAGAGACACTCATACAGACCGGCATATGTAACATGAAGATCAATTTAGAATAAGACCAACAGAGAATGTCTCATTGCATTCATCTTTTGTTTAGTTCTTATTATTGAGTATTAACATTTGCTTGTTTAGCTTCATTAAATTGTTTAACAAATCTTTTTGCAATATCACTTGATTTAAATCTAACACACAATGTTTCATGTTTAGCTTCACCATCAGCAAAATCCATAGCTGACCAAACATATGCATTTTCTGAACCTTGATGTGGTCTTAATTTCATCTGTGATGTTATCTTATGATTAGCACATAATTTTAAAACTTGTTCACGACGCATTAATATGCGATGAAGATTCTTTGTTTTATGCTGTAAAATTTTTATTTCACCGATACCACGTTCTTTCATTTGATTTGATTCACCATCAAAACGATAAAGTTTAGCATGTTCACAAAAGAGAATATTTTCATCTTCTTCACCTGTTTTAACTTCAACAGCAGATAATTGTACAATTGGTTTAAATGAAACATTTGGTTCATATGATTCGTCTTCGCCATCACCATCACCTTCATCATCTTCATTTGTATTAGTTTTTACAGTTGTATTTGTACCAAACATAAGTGAACCTTGACCAGCAAAAACTAAAAAAAAAACAATATACGTAAAATGAATTATAATTTCGGAAAAAGATATTTTCGATACCTCGTTGTTCAGTTCCATTACTTGTCGATTTATCATTCATACTGGTCGATGATTGTTTAGCGAAGTCAGAAAAATTAAATTTTGGTGTATTACCAAAGATTGGTTTATTAGCTGTTACTGCTGCTAATGCAGATCCAAATGAAAGTGTTGATGATATATTTGTTGTCGATGTTGATGCTGCACCAGGTGTAGAAAATTGAAAACCATTTGTAGGTGTTTTTGCTGTTGTATTACCAAAACCAGAAAATGAAAAGCCACTAGTATTAGCTGGTGGTCTTATTGACGCACTACCGCCAAATATGGAACTATTAGGATTATTTATCGGTGTTGAAGTTCCAAATAATGATGTATTAGAAGTACCATTCAAATTTCCAAATATTGATGGTTTACTATCATATTCTGATAGTGCATTTGAAGCTGATGATGATGATTCAACAGATGAAGTTTTTGCTTTTGTTATTAATGTTTGTTTTTGTAATTGTGTTTGTTGTTTATCAATATCTGTAAATGCAAATTTAATATTTTCACTTGAACTTAATGGTGTTTTTCGTGCTGATGTTGTTGATTGTGATTGAGGAGCTAAATAAATAATTAACTAAACATTTATTTAGGATGTGGGTGGGTGTGGAGGTGTGGGGTGGGTGTGGGTGGTGGATGTGGGGTGTGTGGACGTTAGTCTTCTGTTTATTAACACCCACGCACACACCCGCACCATACCCCACATCCACACCCCCACACACACCACCCACATCCACACCCCCACACACACCACCCACATCCACACCCCCACCCATCCAACCACACCCACCCACATCCATACCCGCACCCCACACCCACACCCTAAACTAACAAAAAGTGTCAGAATTAAACCAATTTTCGTATGAACACTGAATGATGTGTGAAAACTGCGAATATATATATGAATATTTTGGAATGTTTCAGAATACATGCGAATTATTTGGAATGAATGAGTATGAGATGAATGTCTAGAAAAGTTTTTCTTCCTCGAGAAAAATTCCTTACCAGTCATTCTCTGGACAATCTGTCTTAGTTTGGTGAGCATGTCACTGTGGATCTGGTAACCCTGAAGGTGTTTTTGCAATTCTTCTTTTAAAAATTTAATTTCTTCTTTTAACTGTTGATTGTCTTCTTTTAACTGTATATTTTCTTCTTGCGTTTGATGACGAAACTGTCCAAATTGTTCTTTAAGACATATCATATCGGTATGACTTTGACTTGCATCACCTTTCTTGTAGACAATTTTGCAATCTTCACAAGTTATTTCAATCAATGGACACTGAGATTTATGTTGCTCGATTTCCTTTTTAGCAAACGATGAATGGCAACCAGCACATCTTTGTGCCTGAAAACCGCATTCTACCTCATGCTTTTCGACCGCTTCGTATGGAAGAATCTAAAACAAAATATCGGTGAAATAATTGCAGGAGTAGGACAACTGACCTCGCGGCAACCGTTTGGTTCATAGGTGCAGGTAACCTGTAATTTGGCTAATGGAGTAACAATAAATCGAGAACATGCTCTTTCTACGAATGGTTCGCATCCCACTGGACATTGATTTCTGCCTTCATGAAGCCATTTTTTGATACACACTGAACAATAGTGAGTTTCGCATGTCTGACAAGCGACTGATTTCCATAAAATATTATGACATATCGAACAATGTAGATCTTCTGAAATGTCTCCTGATTGATTTCGAACGCGATCTGGTGCAAGTCCAACTTCGTTAGTGGATGCCATGTAACAGAATTCAATAGTTCTAAAATAGCATATAGATATTGGGTTAGTTTTCGATGAAAAATTTCACAATAACTGTTGGTAATCATGAGATTATTACGAAAAGTAAAATGCCTTGTACACCTTCTCTTCATGCTTCATGAAAGAGACAGGGCAGTCAGACGCTAACAGGGAAGCTACTCGTCTGGTCTTATTTTTACTCCGATATCGGAAAAGAAAGCGCCAGCAATATGATATCTAAGACAATTATGATATGAGCTGTCACTGTTGGTTTATGTTAAAATGAAGAAGAAGACTAGAAAGGTTGTTCTAGTTTCGAATCATTGGTGTAGTCGAGAAAAAGTCTTCAATTTCCTTTCTTTTAAAAGTAATTAATTGTGATAGAATATAGCTCAAGAGAATTTGACAATTATTTTTCAAAATCTTTTTCTGCGGTTGATTGGAAAAGTTTCATTCTGAACTACAACAGAAAGCTTATTTTTAGATCATTTCGACTATTGTGAATTGAAGACGTCCACGCAAACTTCTTTTCTAGTTGTTTATTCTATTTTCGATGCATGGCTATCTGACTGGGTATGGATGTGAGTACAGATGGGTGCGGTTCTTTTTTATCCACATCTACAACCACACCCACCCTGAAAAGGTTTTCAGTTTCACTGCTAAATATTTGTGTTATACAAAGGTTTCACACTCACTATTAATGATCTACTCTTTCTTCTTGATATTCAAATTTTCGGAGCATGAAAATATCGTCTTTAGTCTTCATCTCATGAAGCATCCAGTGACATTATTTTGATAGTACGATCTCAATAGTGAAATTCGCGAAAAGGACATAACTAGAATAGGACACAAATGCAGAAAGCTAGTCGTCTTAAATATGAACTAAATTCTACAAAAAGGAACTATTAAATCAGTACAACTATGTACGATGCATACAGGTGAATACACTAGATAGATTTATGACTAAGAATGAATCATCAATCGATCAGATAAACGGAAGTCTGTGATAAATACCCATTTCATCTCTCTCGATTCTTTGTAATTAATATTGTAGTCATACACCTGTTATACTTATGATGCTTAGAAAACTCAAAGATCTCCTTAGGAACCATAGTCGTAAGTTACTTACCGAGATACAATATCCTGAAGAAAATTTTTCGAAATATTTCAATAAGAATAATTTCCAACTTGTTTGAATGTTTTATATGCAAATTGCATCGTTTGTTTGTCGAATGACTCTTTTGTTACCTTTGCAACATAAAAAAGCTTTGCTTATCTTATATTTCTTCTTTCTACCTTGTTTTCTTTGATTGCTGTCAACCACGTGCTTTCTTGAGAAGCGCTGCTCATGAGAACAGAAAAATACTCAACATGAAGAGTGGACCACTGATGATGACAAACAAAGAAAAAAAAACATATTTATGAAACTGAATACATTTCAAATGGAGAATAAGCATCGACTCATTTGTGTATGATATGAAACTGCTAACATCGTAGAACAACAGACAATGATGTATAATGAAAGACTTCCTTGAATATCAGGCAAAGAGACATCGTACATCATCTAAGTTTATGTGCTTAGAAATAATGAAATATTCGTACAGCATTATCTATCATATTAGGATCATACAGACGGACCAATATAAACTACTCATGTTAGGCTTCGATATCAACATTATTTAATGATAAGACATGCGAGGATCCTGAATATTGTTAGAAAAATTTAAGAAATTCGTTAGAATTAATATTATATCAGTGATTCTTAGAATATTTTTCTTAAATTAAAAACATCTATTCAATTAATTAACTCCACCATGGGGATCACAATCCAGTGATCTCTGTGCCGGTCGCAAGTCCGGAAAAAGGAGGAGCGTTAGACGGAAGGAGTGCAGATGCCGCCGTCTGTCAAAAAGAAAAGNATGTTTTTCATTTAATCTTTATTTATTGTCTGCTGATGGTCGTTTTCATCTTAACGGTGAACCAAAATCAATCTTTAAAACGGCATGAAACCACGTATCGAGATTCCTACAAGAGCATAATTAATACTTTCATTATAATATTGTTTTTTTTTCTCAATTTTGTTCAATCACTTTTTTATATGGCATAATCAGTAGCAAAGTTCTCGTAAACCTTTTACTTAGGGCATACTAAAACTAATGGTGTTGAGACTTTAATACCGCATTATAAGCTTTAAGAAATTTTTCTCGATATAGTCTGATAGAGAAAACAATTCTCTATTCTTCTATGCTATTTCATCATACTTCAACTAATATCATAATAATAAAATTTCAATAAGATGTGTTTTTCTATCATATGTCACGGTTATGGTGATGCCTATTCAGTCAATATTTTTTCAATAACTTTTGATAATAATAAGTTAGAGAGTTGCGGTTTTCACCGCTCGAAAGAGGAAGTGAAAACGCATCGAATTACATCTTGTATATTTTCGTAGACATCGTCTAAAATTTCTTAAATCAATTTTGTAAATATGCAAAAAAAAATTGTTTTTTATTTCTTCACAGAAATTCCTAGAAAAATCACTTAGAGTCGACTAGAACATCTATTACTCCTGAATCATTAATTCAAAATATTTGAAACTTCTTCAGTTTTGTAGGTCATCCATCGATAGTTTGAATGCACAGCTGACAATTGAAAATTGCCTGTCAACAGCTTATGCAGTAGGTTTGTTTTCAAAGAAGTCAATTGAAAACCATTAAAAAGCCATGCTTCCAAACCAATAATAAAATTCGACGCATTCTTCATTTCCTCTTTCGAAAGGTGAACACCGCAGCTCTCTATCTTATTTTTATCATAACTTATTCAAAAAAATATTGACTGAATAGGCAATTGTATAACCGTCACTAATGATAAAAAAATAGATCTTATTAAAATTTGATTAATTATAATATTAGCAAAAGTATGATCAAACAGCATAGAAAAATAGAAATTTTTTTTCTCTATCAGAATATATAGAGAATAATTTGTTAAAGCTTATTATTGGGTATTAAAGTGTCAACACCCTTACTTTTGGTATGCCTTAAGTAGTTTTTCACAGAAAAAAAATCTATTCAAAAGATATATATTTTTTATTGCTTTTTCTTTTTTTACTTTCAATGAAGCTAGGTTGTTTTTGTTTGTTCTAACTAGTTCATATAAACATATAATAATTGCGCGAATAATCTAACAAATGCACATGGCATATAATAAAATTAACACAAGAGAAACAAACATATATTTAATATAATACTAGACTAAGCATGAACATGAAAATTGTTTATTTTGACACGTCAATTAACGTAGGTATCTGAGCTAAAGACATCATCATGAAAGGAAAATTACGATGAGCACATAAGACAAGCACCATTTTCATCTGTCATGTTGCATTGTTTTATTCGTCGTACAATATTTTGTTCTTCACTTTTAGCAGTTTCTTCTTGTGTACCAGTTCCTTTTTCAATAGCTCCATCAGTTTTTACTGTTGATCCTATACGACTTTTATCAACAGTAAATTTAATTGGATCAGCTGCTGGACGTGTACGTAAATAATACATGCCTGTTTTAAGACCCTTAAAATAAATCAAACATAATCATTATAAAATTCAATAAAACATAAAAATAAACAACTTTTTTCCATGCATAAAAATGCATTGATGAAAGTTTATTCATAGTTGGTTCAGCAATATGAATATTCAATGATTGTGATTGATCAATAAAAGCACCACGATCAGCAGCCATATTAATAATAACTTTCTGTGGAATTTCCCAAACGGTTTTATATAATGCTTTAATATGATCCGGAATAGTTTCAATATTCTTTATAAAATAAAAAAACAAATTAACTAATCAATTTATAAAAAAGTAAAACATACTTGAATTGAACCATTTTCATACATTAAACGATTTTTCATATCAGGATTCCATAAGCCTAATTCAGTTAAATCTTTTAATAAATGATCATTTACAACCTTTAATAAATAAATAAAATAATTTTAAACATTGAAAATAATTTTTTTTTTTGTAATTTCTATTTACTTGAAATTCTCCAGAAAGTACACGTCGTACATATAAATTACTAGTATATGGTTCAATAGATTCATTATTACCAAGAATTTGAGCTGTCGATGCTGTTGGCATTGGTGCTAATAATAAACTATTTCGAATACCATATTGTGCTATTTGACTACGAAGTTCCGCCCAATTCCAACGATCCGAAGGTTTAACATTCCACATATCAAATTGTAGAAACTTGATTAAAAAAAAAGGAAAAGATATGTATTTCAACATCAAAAAAAGCTGTTATTCCTACTCATAAAGAGACTTTTTATATTCTATCTATCTTCGGTTACATGTCTTCATCATCATTTTTCATATACAGTCTATCATGACTTCTGATTAGTAGTTTTCGATTGTGTTTGAAAAAGAAAAAACAACACTTACACCTTTACTAACAGGTGAACCTTCATATGTTTCATATGAACCCTTAATTTTAGCTATTTCACAACTTGATTTTAATGCAGCATAATAGATTGTTTCAAATATATCACGGTTAAGTTGTTGAGCTTGTTCACTTTCAAATGGAAAACGCATTAAACAAAATGTATCAGCAAGGCCTTGAACACCAATACCAATTGGACGATGACGAAGATTTGATGTTTTAGCCTAAATGAAATTAAATTATTATAAATAGTTATTTTCCTATAAAAGAAAAAAAAACAAAATAATAATAACATACTTCTTTTAATGGATAGAAATTTGTATCGATTATTTTATTTAAATTACGTACAACAACACCTGTTACTTGAACAAGTTTATCAAAATCAAATGTTCGATCGGGACGTACAAATCGATTTAATGCAATTGATGCTAAATTACACACAGCAACTTCATTTGGTGCTGTATATTCAACAATTTCCGTGCATAAATTTGAACAATGAATTGTACCAAGATGTTGTTGATTACTTTTTGCATTACAATGATCTTTATATAACATAAATGGTGTACCA